TCGGTACTGTATAATCTATCTATGAAGGTGATGGAGGTTGTGGCGGAGGATCTTGCCCCCAAGAAGACCTACAGCGACCTTGTTGAAAGCGCCAGGGACGATCAGGTGGGTTGAGCTGCAGTGTTTGTTTTTTGCTTTTGTACTGTTTGTTGTTGTTGCTGCTGTTGCTTTTGTTGCTGCTGCAGCTGTTGCTGTTGCTCCTGCGGCTGCTGCTGGTTGTCTGGTGGTGGCACATGGGTCATTTCACCCCAACGCGATGACTTCGCGCACGGGGAGAGCGTCTTCCCAAAACTCTTTTGCAGTACCATTAGAGTAAAGCACAGTCAGCATCTTGCGGTATATCTCGTCTCGCAAAATTCGTCTTCGGCAGTAGCTCCCAGGTGTCGTGTTGTGGTCCGTGGAGGACAACGACCATCGGGTGTACACGGGTGTTCGTTTTCTTTCTTTCTTTGTTGTTCAGACCGTTACCCCCCCCCGTCCCCGCCGCCCCCCCCTCGGTGGTGTTTGCCATCGGGGTTGGGTTTTCGTCGCTTGGCAACGACGTTGTAAAACAAGCCGCCCCCCCCGGTGTTTGCCATCGGGGTTGGGTTTTCGTCGCTTGGCAACGACGTTGTAAAACAAGCCGCCCCCCCCGGTGTTTGCCATCGGGGTTGGGTTTTCGTCGCTTGGCAACGACGTTGTAAAACAAGCCGCCCCCCCCGGTGTTTGCCATCGGGGTTGGGTTTTCGTCGCTTGGCAACGACGTTGTAAAACAAGCCGCCCCCCCCGGTGTTTGCCATCGGGGTTGGGTTTTCGTCGCTTGGCAACGACGTTGTAAAACAAGCCAATTCACTTCGTGAACTCGGCAACCAGGTTACCGTTTTTTTTTTTTACCTCCGTTTTTTTTTTTGGCGGTAACCATAATGGTGGTCGAGTAGATCATGTTGTGCGGGGTGGAGAACCCTCACTCCGCGCAAGGGGGATGATCGCACCACGTTGTGTTAAAATGGTCAAGCACCCTCGAGGCAGTTACACAGTGCTTACAACTGTCTCTGGAAGTGAAAGCACCAGAAAATAAATTAATTCATACGCAGCTGTCATCCGTACGCAAGGAAGTAAGCACAAGATGCCGAAAACCCTTAGCAGGATGCAGCGCACCCTTCATGCGACTCGCCGAATATCTCACGGCGCTTCGCGCTTGGTGATGTGAGAGCCTGGTCCGGTGAGAACCCGGCGTGCTCCGTCCCGGCTTTGTAGGGATGCGAGGTCAATGATCTAACGACTACGGCATGCACGACTATGAGTACCCCCCCCCCCCCCCCCGTCCCCGCCGCCGAAGGTGACAAATAAACCCTGTTCGTGATGTATCCTTTTGACTCGCCTCTGCCTCCCCCACGTGGCGTGCATATGTCCTCCTCTCTCACCCCCTCACATGTTATTGCTACCCGTTCTTTCTGCGGTGCGACGGATGCGCAGCCTGACGAGACTTGGAAGAACAAGCTTAGCCCCGACCAGTACTACGTTCTCAGGATGGTGAGTCGGCCGCCTCCATCACTCCGGAACCTCTTTATCGTAGAATCTATCTGCAGTGGACATATCCCCTAGTGAGGAATAACGCCTTTCGAGCATTTTCCGCCCACTTTTTTTCGGTTTCATTCCTTTCACCCCAAGTCCGTGGTTATGTTCCACGTTTGGCGAATATGAATCCGTCGCACACTCAGGCGAGCAACCATTCTTCACATTCGAAAATCCCCTTGGACTTGTACGGAACTCCAACACGCAGCCTCAACCATTGTTGTGCGTTTCCTTTTTTTTTTTTTCGTTGCTTTCATCGCCCGCCGGGACGAAACTTGTCACGTAGAGCACCACCTAAGTACGTCCTCCACCTCTGCCACCCCCCATCTTTGGCACATGTTAGTCGCACAACGATGGCAGAAACGGTGCATTTGTGTGTCTGTGGAATGGCCATGGCGTGCCTATTTCGGCCGTGGGGTTGTTTGCTCGCTGACTTGTCCTACGTTGTTCCCCTCCCTCCATGTGTTTGCCCACCGCCTCTCGTTGTTGTTTTTCCTGGTCCCCGTTGACTGCAACACTAGGGTGGCACGGAACCGTCGTTCACGTCCCCGCTTAACAAGGAGAAGAGGGAGGGAGTATTCGTTTGCGCCGGTTGCGGGCAGGAGCTGTACGATTCCAGCACCAAGTATAACAGCGGCACTGGATGGTGAGACATTTATTTTCCCGGTCATCCGTCTACGTTGATAACTTGCTCCATTCCGGTGGCGCCGGAGGGTGCGACAGGTGTTGGTGCTAGTTGGCAGCAGGGGGCTGATTTGTTTTGGGGAGGCAGCCATGGACTTTCTTAGAAAATTCTCAACAAGGTGTATTAATAGTTTAAGGTTGCGGCACTAACACCACCCCTGTTTTGCGGCAGGCCAAGAAACCACTCGTGAGCGCAACCTCAGGAGAACACATACTGTCGCAGTGTTTGGAAATGATTAGGGCACCTGTCTACCCCACTCATTGGTTGTAATGGTTAACGCAAACTACCTCGCTACACATCGAATTATCATGATGTTTTTTGCAGGGCCAACGTACCCATGCTGCCAGTACGATGCATCTCATGCGTTGCCTAACTGCCTGTCCTCGTGAATACCTCCACGCGTGTGATTTTCTCCTCCTTGCGCTCATGTATTGCGCTTTTTTCGTCGAAGGCCTTCGTTCTTTGCGCCCGTTTCGGAGGAAGCCGTTCGGGTCGTTCGAGAGGGCGGTCTCTTCCCCAGGGTGAGAACAATATATGAACACTTTGATTCACTAGACAAAGTGCGTACCACGTTTCTGGTACTGGTGCAGGACACTCGTACCACTACACTGGTACTGGTACAGTACACTCGTGGCCCCGATACAAGAGGTACCAAGAGGTACCTTACAAGAATGGGGCCCCGATATGATAGGGTCGACATCCGTTGCCAGACTCGGCCCGCTATAGTGTTGTTGGGCACCCTCTTAATCCAGTATCAGAGGGGGCTCCGATACGGGAGGGTCGAGGGCATTTGTCACACCATTCTCTTATCACCGAGCCTCGACAGTTTCAGCGTCACACGAGCTTGGGAGTTTGTTGACACCCTGAATGGTCCTTTGTTGTTTTGCTTGGTATGTTTCTGCTGCCCGTATCGCTGTTCGATTGTCTGCATTGCAAGAAGTAAGGTGATGATCGTAGATACGTACACCAGTAGAGCTGCTGGCAACTCGGGCCCGACTAGAGAAAAGGCCCGATTACCGCAACATACCGTGTAGACACTTTCGGCCAGTCACGCTTGCGTTTTCCCCACTTTTCATCCTTCATCCCTCTCCTCGTGCCACGTGCATGGGGAGAGATTGATTGCGCCGGTAGAATAATTTGCAAACCGTTGACACCCTCCATCTTGTTCGAGCTCCTCGAAACGGATGCTTTTGAGGTAGCCAAGGCACGCAGCCGACTACACCATGCGAGACCAATCGTCTCCCGACTACGGCACGGGTGTTCCACGAGTACACCTCCCCCCACAACTCAACCCTACTTGTGTGTGTGTGTGTGTGCTTTTTTTCGCACCTCGCTGCAGAGAGAAGTGCGGTGTTCGAACTGCGACGGGCACTTGGGGCACGTGTTCCCAGACGGACCCAAGCCCACGGGGCTACGCTACTGCATGAACGGCGTTGCGATGGGGTTCAAGCCCAAGGAAGACATGGCCGAAAGGGAAACCGCATAGTCTACAGCAGTTTCTTGTGCTAGAAACCAAGGCCTGATGCGTTTTATTGGAGGCGTTGTTGTACAGCGAAGGAAACACATCTGCTGTAGCAGTAAGTGAACCAGTGGCGTTGAGTCCGCCTGTCGAAGAGCCTCTGCTTGTTGTTTTGTTGTCAGTAAGGTACCATGGAAGAAGCGTTTCAGTTTTTTTGTGTTTCTCGAATTCCGTGGGTTGTGGATTCCATGTTCGTGGCTTCCTTCATTGATGCGGGATTTCCACAAGCCCCTCGATCGTTGAGAGAGACAAAGCAGTGGTGTTGTCACACGTCCGTCCGTATGTATCACGCTGCATGCGTGTATGTATGTGTCGTATGCACTCTTTCGTGCTTGATAGACTGCCTTACGGAAGTAGCGGGCACCAGCACGATTTGTATTTTTGTGTTTTCGCCAGAGTCTTGCCTCCGATTTTTTTCCTTGGGGTGTGGCCGACAGACTGACTAAGTCATGCCAGGAGTAGAGTTTGATTGGGCACCTGTTACATTATTATCGCCCTTGTTCCTATTTTGCTGTACGTCGATACTGGAGAAAATAAGCACCGAGCGCAGGGGAATGTTGAAATATTTTGAGTGACTCCGGATCGGAGGTGGGGTGTTACGATGGAGAGGATTAAAAAATAGCAATGCAAAAACGACCCCGCGCACGGTAAGTGGCCACCTGCCGGGAGGCCAATATAAGGACAATCCAAAGTAAAAAGGGAACTAAGCGTACGTATCTCCGGAGCACGGACCGAATGAATTGATGTGAAGACGTCGAGTTCAGTCCATCTTCCTTTGTGAAAACGAAGACAAGGAGGCTATCTATCTATCCATCCGGCAGGAGGGTGTGTAGAACGAAGGAACTCCAATGGCTTCAAGTTCATTTTTGCACCCTCAGCGTGTGCGTCTCTTCTTGACAAGTCATGGTACATCCAGATGATGTCGACAGCAGCAGTGGCGCCCGGAGATACTGCTGTAGAACAATATCTTGAGCCCATCTTTTTACGGGGAAAAATATTTGGGAAAAAAAGGTTTGTTCCGAAATAAATGTTCGCAAGACATTACATCGTATCGCACCTTTACTACAAAAGGCTCCGGGTTGTTGGCGGTACCGTTGTTTTGCCGTGCTTGTTTCTCACTTTCGTCGGAAGTTCGGAACTTGTTTCGCACACATGATGAATCAAACCAATACAACAAAAATGCTTTAGGAGGGATATTTGATGACGTGCCACTTCAAGGAGCTGGGCATGTAGCTGTGGAGAGATGGCTACGAACAATCAGTGGACGTTATTCTATCTCATCATGGACGCATGGTCCGCGTTCGAACCCCGGAGACTGAGCCCGGAACCGTCGCTATTTTTTTTTTCGAACTTCTTTTTCGAGAATAATAAAATTATGTTGCAACGGGTTTTCCGGGTCCCGAGAAAGCAGGGCAGCAGCCGCCCCCCTCCTCCTGTCACTCTGCACCACCACCTCTCCCAGCTCTCCACAAGCTCACAGCACCTCCCACCCGGACCAAGCTTGTCTACTCTTCACCTTCAGCGGCAGCCGGAAGTTGCTCAACCAGTCTGCTGCGCGGAGATACCCTATCTGCTCTTGCTCAACCAGGTCTACAAGCGTCGCTTACTAAAAAACATGGTTTCGTCTGTTGCGTTCTTGACCGCACTGGCTGGCGTGCTGGGCAACACGATCACTAGCACGGAGGCGCTGAGGGTGCTCACACCGGCGGTGGCTGAGAGTGTCGCGTCAGGCAGGTGAGATACGATGACACAATGCTGTAGGCTTTCAATGCAGCGGTGGGTACTGCTGCTGCTGCCACCTTTAACTGGCTGCTGCTGGAACCCGCAGCAGCACACACACACACACACAGCAGTTGGTCTTCATGTTTTTCGTCTTGATTCTCCTTGGCGTTCACCTACCTGCTGTGTGCCTCTGTGCGGGACTGTTGAGTTAGAAGCGGCGTGGCACGTGTTGCTACTTACGGAATCGACATGTTACCTAAAACGGCATTCCTCACCTGTCCCTTTCCGCCCCCCTCTCTAACCTCTCTGTCGGGCGGGTGTCCCGCTCTTCGCCGTTTGGCCGTTATTCCGTTTCGTTGGTGTCCGCTTTTCTACTTCTCCAACGCGCAGGCCGTACGTCGTGTCGTGGCAGGGTGCACAGGCGGACGACCGCTTCGAGGTCGATTTGCACTACTGCGGATCGTACTCGTTCTGCTTTGGAGAGGTGAGAACAAGAGGATCTCCAATCCCTGAAGTATTATTTTGCACATCTGCACGTTTTGCCCCCCCGCAGAGAGGAGAAATTTCTGCTGCACCTTTGAGCGTGAAACGTGTGGTCAGAGGCGTTACTTGTCCGATCAACCGGGTGCCTTATCAGAATACAGGTTCGGTTGCCTATCAGAATACCGGGTGATGCGCCATCTATGCAACCGCAGCAGCAGTCTCGCTGCACTCAAGAACTGCTTGGCCTTGGCCCTTCAGGAAAAAGATTAACGTCTGCGTCAGTTGGGACCAGCCGGGTGTTTCTGTCGAACGTTGCAGTGCTGCTGCTGCTGCTGCTGTAGGCGGCCCCGTTGCCCGGCTGTTGGAACTATCTACATTAGTACGCCATACAACCGGTGGGCAAAAGACATTCCTTGCCCACAACCTCCTGCGACAGACACACGGCGCGAGTGGTCCCCGAGTTTCTCACACCACCCCTCCCTCTCTCCGATTTTTTTCCACACAGGCGGAGGACTGCGGTTTCTGGATAGCGAACGTTTGCAACGAGGCGGATGACGCCTGCATGATCCAAGACGACCAGAGCTCCCAGGTGACCTTCCCAGAGCCGGTCGCCGGACACTCGAACAACGGCTACAGGGTCCGGATTTCGGAGGTCGGTACGGACAACTTCCGGTGCTCGGAGGACTTCTACCTCGTGGCTTCGGCGGATGTCCTCGAATTCGGGGAGCCGGGGGGGCCGACGATGGAGGTGGTTGCGCCGGAGGCTAACGCACTGGCTGTCGCGGGAGAGACGTACACCGTAGAGGTGAGCAAACTTGCAAGGATATGCAGCAAGTGCTCATTTTTATCTGTGTGGTTTTGTTGTTGTGTTTCGACTGTACAGTTGCAAGATTGTTTCTGTAAAACCATGACGTAACCAATCATATTCGGAGAAGCATTATGTACCTACAGTAGGGGGCCCTCCATAGTGCCGGTATGTGTTCAGCGAGCAAAGCGGCACTATACCGGGCACCGGCACTATTCAGAGTACAGAAAGACTTGATATTCCGGTGTGTGCGAGCCGAAAACACCGGCACTATACCGGCAACCGGCACTATTCAACCGGCACTATATCGGGCCACCTACTGTAACTATTTCCGCAGAGGCATGATGTAGCAAAAAAAAAAAAATGTAGCCAACGCTCTGTTCAACTGCTGTGGTAAGTATCTGTGTGGAACCAAAATAACCGCAACGACAGCATCAATTGCAACAACCCAACAACACCGAACACACGCTCGGGGTGCTGCCACCATGTCTACGGTACGTCTATGCTGGGCACGATCAACACTCCTTGCGCCCCCTGCTCTGTACTGCATCCATCACAGTTCGACTACGACAACGGATTCGGCGAACAGCTCGGGCGGTTCAAGATCGACCTCTACAAGGCGGAGGGGAACGGCGACTGCGGCAGCTGGGTCACCTCCGTCTGCGACAAGCCGGACATGGGCTGCCGTGACAGCGGTGAGTTTTTACACTAATTTCGTTGAGAGAAACTCCCCAGATTAACCTAATTCGTTGGTGTGCATTAGTAGGGATGAGAGTTGATTGTGTGCATCAAGCACAGTCAACACTTCGATTACGTAACCACGCTCATCCATCTCCGTCAAACCCCACCCCCCCCTCATCGTCCCCCTTGCGTCTTCCGCGAACAACAGAGGGCGACTACGACGTGGTTATCCCAGCAGACTCGGAGGAAGGAATGTACAAGATCCGCGTCGGTCTGTTCGGAGATGACTCCATCTATGCGTGCTCCCCCTCCTTCGAGATCACAACCACCAATCCCGGTGTGCTTGCTGCAGGCGGGGGGCTGTGGATGGACTCCACTTCTTCGTAACAGATTTTTCTCTTGATTAGAACGAACATAAGCTCTGGAGATTAGAACAATTAGTACTTCTGGCGGACTGATGAAGTTTTTCACGCGCGGTGAAATTCCTACCCACTAATCAGAGGCTTTCTCTCTGATCGACGTGGCTGCTAGCGCAAAAAATGCGACCCGAGGCGTAGGTACACCAAGGGGTCCGGTATGGCCACACACCTTGGTAACATGTGTAGTTGATGTTTCGTCGTCTGTTTTCTACCTGGCTGGTAGTATATAAAGTATAATAATAGATGGTACTTGCACCTTCCTTGGCAGGGCAAGCAACCACTAAAGTAAAGCATCTTGATGCTTTGGGTGATGTTCCGCGCAGTGTTTCGGTGTCAAACGGGCTGCTGCTTTCATTAAGGTTTTTCTTGGGGTTACGGGTTACCATGTCATCTTTACTGGGGCCGTTACTCGGAGTAAGGGATGTGAGTTGGCTGTTGGCTACGACTACTCGTTCTTTGGAAAATTGTGTGGCCATTCGGCCGATTTCCTCCCAAGTGTTGGTTGTTTTTGTTGTTTTCTTGTTTTTGTTGTTTTCTTCGTTGTTGCGCCGATAGGGCAGGGCTCTTTTGTGGTCGGTTGGGGTGTGCTTGCTGGCCACTGCTTGGGGGCAACATGCATGTTGGGAATATTCCGCATGTTGGGAATATTCTATTTATTATAGAACGGGATTTTTTGTTCCCCTGTTCGTTTTCGTTCACTACAGGCGGAAACTTGTGTATGTCGAGTCCCGTTATTTCAATTCGCGATTAAATCAAGGATTTGTTGTCTGGACTTGACAAGCACAACGAGACCAAGGAACGGAAATGAATGGTTGGCGTGAACCAAACCAATCCGGCCGTTTCCACCAAATATATGCCCTTTTTTGGCTCCAAAACGTCGCGTTTGAGGTGACTTAATCTGCAAAAATTATTCTCGTTCGGGCCCGATGGTGTCTGCCTCGACACACGAGGACTCAGCTACCCCCCGAAGACGGAGAGACGCTGACGTCGTCTAGTCTTGTCTTCAGGCGAAGATCGTGCACGCTCTCGCGCGCTGTTTTGACAGCGAGCCCTCTTCTTCCATCTGAAATTTATTGGAGGGATTTTTATGTGGATTGCCGCGAAAGATCCAACGTGAAAATACCGCTCTGGCGTACCGGTATATGTACCGCCGGTTTACCGCCTACCCCGCAGATATGAATGAAGTCGGATCCGCCGAAAAAACGGGGAAAACCATGCACAAAATACCGCAGTGTGGCGTCACCGCCGACAAAATACCGCCACATTTGTTTCTACCGCCTCCCTCTGCTGAAACTGGTGCCGCCGATCAACATAAACACCTACTACCTCTACAATACAGCGGAATGAAGTCACCTACACCACTGTGGTAACACCGCCGAAAAATTGACGCCGTAAGTAAACCTTCCGGTGAACAATTGCCTGGCTTGTAAACCATTGTAAATTACCGCGCCGACGGGAAAAATTACCGACGGGCGAGGATAGACAGAGGGAGGCCGCACCTCGCCGATTACACCGACGGACGGGCAAAGCGTGAAGAAATCAAGACCCCATGCGTGTGGCATTGCGACATGAACTGCTGTGTCACGCTTGTTTGTATCTAGACTGTACCTACCTGAAGCTGCCATTCTCCATTTTCACGCCATAACGCAATAAATCACTAGCAAAACGCCCGAACAACTGTTCTTTCCCTGTCATGCGCTCGATTTACCTCTCGCTACCTTGTTCAGGCGCGCCATATCTCGACACCCCGCAATTTGCTGCTTTGTTTGGCGTCGCTTGCACCTCAAACGGCGCTCAAACGCCGCGGAGTATCGCGCTGTTTGGGGTGGTCGATGCCCGTACCGCCCCGAGCTTGTCGTTTCTTGAGCAAAACTCCGGCCTCCTCGTCGTGCCGCCTATCTATACCAAGCGTGTCAAACATGCGAGAAGCAGTCAGTCTGAAAGGCTGATGCACCTCTTCAAGCCGTAAAAGAGCAACCGTTTCACACACACACACACGCATGGTCAGGGGATCCCGCCCCGGCTAGATTGCGCTCTTCTAATAGCTTTGTTTCCATTTTCATTTTACTGATAAGTAGGTAGGGAATGTATTTCGTCCCGGAATAACTGCGTTGTTTCATTAGCAGCGGGTACACGGCGCGTGGTCCCGATAGCACTTAATTAACAGATCAGGGAAAAGAAAAGTATTGCGTGTTTTCCGTATTGCATTATTACTGAGTCTCAGCCACGAGATGGTGTTTGAAACGTATTTATTGGAGGTATACGACACGACAGGATTTTCCCCCGGACCAAAATGATACTTAGCTTTTATCATGTTTGTGTTTGATCCGCTTGAAACGAGCTTAGTTGATTGATTGGTCGACGCCTACCTTCACCCTGCCGTGTCATCACTAGAAGCCCCGGGGTATTCCCTGCCGCGGCAGTTTATCGCTACCGTTGTACCCTGAGTTGTTAAAAATCACAGTTCACGGAACCCTTTCGTCGGCCAGAGTATCCCTGCAGAAATCACAACCTGCTCGAACCCCCGTCCAGCTGCAAATATCTGTTGGCAATCGAATTGCGAGACACACTCCGTGACTTAATGGAAAATCATTGACACGCCATCTGAAGCACAACATGCATGCAGCAAAACTACACAGCAATGATGTATGGGTGGTGGCCGAGAGAGGGACAGGATTTGGAGCAAGATTCACCGCCAATTCCCCAGAGTTTCCATACTAGACGACGCATCGTATTTGTATGCCACACATGTGCATAGGACATTTTTGCTTCACACAAACTGCGAAAAGCTACCGATCATCAGCAAGGATATTCTAGGAGATGGCTGGGTTTGACTTCAGGAGGTCTCCCTTGCATGGTTATCTGTCTTTGTAGCTGTCAGTTTGAAGTCAATTGACCAATCTTCACTGCCATGGCGTAGCAATCACGGTCATGTCAATTGGCAACGTTTCCCCCTTGGCTCGCCCCTATTCATAATTATTCGTTTGGTACGTTTGTGGCTCTCCTCTCCCTTGCTCTGTCACCACACATCCATCCATTGCTCTGCTGGAATACTGCACTCTTGCTCTGCTACTTCGGCGTGCCAACCATGCTGTGTTAAGCCATTGAGGGTCTCTCCGATTTCGGTTGCCATTCCTTTTAGAGCTGGAAGATTCGTGTTTTGATGTTCTTTGCTTCGATCAAAAAAAGACGATTTGTCGGCAAGAAAGGGCAGACGGAAACTTCCCTTTTACCGTCAGGGGAGGGTGCAGCACTCGAGAAAGCAGGGTGCAATTGCAGCTTAAAGCTGCCGTGGCAAGGGACACCCCGGGCTTTTTGGTGACATGGCAGGGCGAAACGGGACGTCGGCCAACCAGCTAGGCTTTTTTCACGCTGGTCTAGAGTATGGGGTTTCTGACTGCTGTGTATATACCATGCCCTTTTGTGTCGTTTCCCTGTTGGCTTCCGTGGTCAACTACAACAAAACAGTATCCCCGCCCCGGCCAGTTGTTCGTAGACCTTCTACCGTCCCCTTTACGTCCGGGGGACAATTTCGGGTGAAACTCCAGACCCACCCATGGTCTAACCCTGGGCATTTCTGCATTCTCGATGTACTTTGGTGGTCTCGATCGAAGCATCAATCCAACTTTCTCATCGATATTTGACTCGGCTTCTTCCGGAAAGCGACAATCCCTTCGTGGCAGACTGGGAGATGGCCTGCGCTACATTCATCTCCTACACGGCTATATGTTTGCACTTCTTCTTCAATTTAATGGCATTGAGGGGCGACTTTGCGCAATACCCTGACCCACGTTGTCATTGCTGGTTTAAATTTGTACGTATATTCCCTTGATGTTATGTTCCATCCGGTGTTATGTTGCCCGTTTCCTACATCGTGTTGGATTGCAGCCTTGTAGGAGCATCGTCCAAACGCCAACGAAAGGCCTCCGCACCAGGAGCAATGGAACATTGAGGCGGAAGTGGGACGGCGGCAGCAAGCAACCCGGCGTGTTTGGTGGACGTTTTTTCCTCCCTCTCGCGATTCGAATTAAAGGAAACATTCTTGCGTGGCTGGCCCGCGCAAGTTTTGCTCGGTATGCTAAGCACGTCACTCATAAGCTGCCTTCTTTGCCGGACAGCTGATGGTTGGTGCTTGGTTGTCGGTGGGGTAGTCTAGAGGGCTACCGCCGGGCACCCGATCAGTAGTGATCACCTGCCGAAATCAAGGACCGGCGAAGAAAGCGCGATCGAGTCCGGAAACACGAGGATGCTGGGAGGAAGTTGGCCATTCTTGCAACTACTCTACTATGGAATTTGTTTGAGTCAGACGGTCCATTAAAGTTCTGTTGAAGTGTTTGGTTTCGAACGCGTTTGTCAAAATTCGAGGCGCATGCATGCAGACATTGTGACGGGCTTGTGCTACTATTGCTACTGCTTTTTGTGATGCTGTGTCTATGGCAGTACGGTACATATTCTGAGTATGAACATCTGCTGCTGTAGACTGCCAAATAAATCATCTACACCATACACGCCAGCCAGCGACGACAGTCAATGAAATACGGAGTTCAAGTCCGCGAACGGCGAGGGTAGCCATGGACAGAAGTCAAAGAGAAGGTTGGCCAGAGTGGATACCCATGGTCTCGGCACATGCGTGCATGCACGCATGCATGTGAAGAGTCCATCCGGCAGCAGTTTGTCTCTGCGATGGTGCGGCGAATCGGCTCGAAATGTTTCGTTGATGAGATTCACCGCACCCAGCAACAAACCGAAGCACACTCTGCATACTCTCTTTTATGGAGCACGATGAAAGGACGCGAGAGGTTCCAACGAAGGCACAATACGTACCATGTGCATGCAAACTGCATGCCCGCATGTTGCTGCTATGATGTGCCGCTTCTGGGTGTAGTGTAGAGGTGACGACACTCTATTATTGTAGGATCCGCCGCACCCTCCAACACCGCGGCACCTTGATGTGCACACCCTGCACACCCTAGTGTGGAGCACGATGGAAGGATGCTACGTGTGTTGCTGTGTGCCGCTTTGTGGAGATGCAGTTGTCTGCTATGCTCTCCGGTCAAGCGTCGAAAGTTTTCGATGAGATCAACCGCGCCCAACAAAGCGGAACTCGATGCGCACACTCCTGCAAGTCTCTGTGGTGGATCACGATGAAACGGCACGAGAAGCCCCCATGAAACCACAAACGAGGCATCCTTGCAAGCACTACCATGTGCATGCAAACATTATGGTTGTGTCGTGTGTTGTACGGCCCCTGTGCTGCTGCTGTGGGAACGTGACAGTCTCGTGGTTGTTCGGATGCGCCGCACCCTCGAACACGGCATGCGGCACCTCGATGCGCACACCCTGCACACGACATAGTGTGGCGCATGACGAAAGGATGCGAGAGGTCCCCAAGACCGCGGACACGTTGCGTCCTCGCACGCACCACCGTTTGCATGCACTCTTCATGGTGTCGTGTGTTGTGTTGCCTGTAGTTGCTGAGCGTATGTGAAAAAAACAAATAACGAGTTGTGTGCCCTCTATAAAAAACAGTCAGATAGAGCCGGCTCGATGAAACCGAACCGTCACATTCTGAAGAGATCACACCGACACCCCCGACACCGCACCAAGCACACGATCACTTTGAAGGTTACCGTTCCTCTCTTTTCACAATGCCGATTATGCAGGAGACAGGTGCCCGTGCTGCTGGACCTCATGAAGTCGACATTGGAGTGGACGATCGACATTCTGATCTTGACGGAGGAAGCAATTTTCGCGTTGACCGCATGTCGCTGCATTTGTTTGGTCAATGTGGAGACTGAGGAAGCAATTCTTCATAGCCTTGAGGTTCGTAATTGGAAGCGTAAACTGAGCCAACGTGTAAAGCGAGGGGGAGGGGAGAGAGAGAGAGAGAGAGAGAGAGAGAGAGAGAGAGAGATAGGGTTCGAAGGTTTTATTAACCAAGGAAAAGCTAGGCAGAAGAACCACCAGAGAACGAAGCAGACATCATACTAGGTAGCAGCAGTGTATAACCAAGCATGTCGTCTTAACGGGGGCGCGCAACGTGATCGGGCGACGAATCAGTCCCAACGTCCCCACGCGACATGTCGATGTTGCGAAGGATTCACTTAAAAAGGGCGCTGCCGCCGTGAACTTGGAGGCACCAGGATCCGGAGACGGCGGTTTCGGCGATGGAGTAGCGAACATCAGGAAGGGCGAGCTTGACAGGTCGAGGATCGTCTAAGAACCGGACGACGTAGAAGTCGGACTGTAGAGGCGGTCCAGTTATCTTGCCCAACCACCAAAACCCATCGCGCGCTTTGTACCAGAGGAAGGCGCCTGCAGGGAGCGGATTATTGGCGAGGCGACGGTCCCATGTTGAACGAGAGACGAGCGAATAGCCCGAAGGCAAGGCTCGCTCTCCTTGAACGCGCGCCATCTCGCGGTTGGCGGCACCAATACGCATCGCCCGATAGCGGCGATTCGTTCGGCGGTGTTGATCCGGCGAACCCGTCCAGTACCGAAGAATGTGTGTCTTGGAATGCTGGAGGTCCAGCTCTCGTTCCCAAGCAGGACGAAGAAGACCTTTTCAATGAGTTTGGTATAAAACAGCGACGGTGCCACCACGACCACAAACAGACTGATGTTCACTAATGCGGTCAACGTCGAGACGTTCGACCGGAGTCAGAACATTGTCTTCCGTAACATGGTAGGGAGGAGAATTATTCGCATAGGAGTTCAGTACATACGGTGTAAGGCCGGCAGGCAGGAATCGAGGCAAGTCTTCAGTGTCACGTGGATTAGCGCAGGGCTTGCAACGCGCAACCGATACACGATTTTTCGAGTACGAACCCGGCAAATCCGATGGAAGATCCAAATGATGCAACTTAGAAGCCAAAGGACAACCGTCGGGAGCGTCAAAACACGGGCCCACAGCCAAGATCTTGAGCGGACCAGTCTAGAGGAAAGACAACTTAGCCTTGAGAACCTTGTCATCCATGCCGGAACGAACACCTTGGCGAATGGTAGATTCGGTGTTGTACAGGGCGGCCGAGACAGCACTTGTGGCGAATCTGATGTTGTTGCGCCCTGTTTCCCTCCCTGCTGTATGCTATACTCCTTGATGTATGTCCTTTGTATTGCCTTCGGCCCCTGTGCTGTGTTTCTTTTTTTCATGACCTCCCTGCCTACTCTGCTGTGTTGGGTACCTTGATCTCGCTTTGCTGTTGCCTTTGTTTTTGCAAGTCTGGCTGTCTTTCCATCTGCCGCCTCTTTGTCCTGTTTGCTCCGTCACTCCCATGCCCTGGTGTAGTGCCTGGTGCTGGTACGTTGCCCTTTAATTTTTCTTTGGGCGGGTGTGGGAAGCGTCCTCCTTTATTTTTATTTTTGTTTTATTTTGATCGGTTTCCGAGGGCTCTTTCTCGAACGGTCGGTGCGATACCTGTTCTTTTCTTCCTGTCATTTTGTTTTCTTTTTCTGAGTGGTTTGTACCCTATTTTTGTTTTGTTTCCCCGCGGCGTCGTATGTGCCGGGTTTTGAGACCACGGGCTCCCCATTTTTTTTTGTGGACTATAGAGCTAATGTGAGAAACAACAACAACAACAACAGCAACAAGAACAACCCAAACCCATCCACCGACGGTGTAGGAGGGAACCTTGCGCAAATAGAGCGGAGTTACGCCGTTCGATCCGCGAAACGGACAGGTTGTGGTGTTCACGAACTAAATCGAAAGAATGATGTTGGCGATCAGCAGCAAGATCTCAATACTCGAGTTGATCGCGATGCAAGCTTTGGTGGCCTCGAGCATATGGATGCTCGAAAACCGTCATCGGCATGCGTGGCAGTCGGTTCATATGCACCTCGTTGGGTGCCAAACCGGTAGCGGCACTAACCGAATTGTTGTAGGCGAACTCAACGTGCGGCAGATGGATGTCCCAATCATCTTGCCTCTGATTGACGACCATAGCCAACATCTGAGCCATAGTGTGGTTGACTCGCTCCACACCCCCATTTCCATTGGGATGGGAAGAGCTAGTAGCCACTTTGCAAATAGTTAGACGGGCGTACACAGCCTGCGACAGTTTAGAACAAAAACTGAGATCCACTATCAGACAAGAGACTCAAAGGGCAACCCCACAAAGGGATATACCGATTGACAAGAACATCAGCGGTGCCTTCGGCGGTGAATTCTGCAGCCGTAACCGCGTACATATCAGCATGGCGGCTGAAACGATCAGTGAAGAGCAGAATATATGTGTTTCCGCGCGGGGTCAACGGGAGGGGGCCGAAATAATCGACGTTCACCGACACACCAGGGCCCGAAGGCAGCGGAAGGCACAGAGTAGGCCATCGAGGNTAACCTGTAAAAGGGGCCAGCCCACCGAAGACAGAAGTCGGGGAAGTGGGGACGAGCCCACCCAAGCCAACACCCACGGCGCGATGGCCGGAAGGCGTAAGGCCACAAGAACGGATGAAGAACACGCCCTCCTCATCGTCATCTGGCGTCAATCGACTGCGACCAGATCGGTCACATTCCGCCGCATCGATCGGAAGGCGAGAGAGGAAATCAGCGTTGCCATTTGCTGAACCCTTGCGGTACTCGAGAGTGTAATTGTAAGCGGTAAGAAATTCGAGCCAACGCTGAACGCGGGCATTGTTCTCCCCCACCTTGGCAAAATGCTCAAGAGACTTGTGGTCAGTAAAAATGCGAAATTTAGTACCCCACAGATAACCGCGAAGTCGTTTGATGGACCACACGATGCTACCCGCTTCGAGGTCGAGGGGGGTCCAATGACGTTCGGAGTCCAAAGTGGCTCGGCTGATGAAGACGATTGGTCGGATGGAGCCGTCCGGCTGTTCTTGTTCGAGAGTCCCACCGAACCCATCGCGACTAGCATCACAGTAGAGACGAAAAGGTCGCGAACCGTCCGAAACGGCATCCCAATCCGGATAAACCAGGACAGGAGGGTTGGCCAATTCAGAGAGCNAAGGAGGCATCAAAGTGACAGGCTTGCATGATCCACGGACGCATGAGCATAGGAACAAAATTCCGAATGGGTTCGTCGTTGAGAAGGCGAGCAGCACGCCCACCAGGACGTGCGGTCGTAGACGACGGGGGTGCTGTGTGCTTGCGAACAAGCAAGACCAACCCATCATCGTCAACATGTAACCGTCCNCACCCAAGACCGAAGTCGGGGAAGTGGGGACGAGCCCACCCAAGCCAACACCCACGGCGCGATGGCCGGAAGGCGTAAGGCCACAAGAACGGATGAAGAACACGCCCTCCTCATCGTCATCTGGCGTCAATCGACTGCGACCAGATCGGTCACATTCCGCCGCATCGATCGGAAGGCGAGAGAGGAAATCAGCGTTGCCATTTGCTGAACCCTTGCGGCAATCGAGAGTGTAATTGTAAGCGGCAAGAAATTCGAGCCAACGCTTAACGCGGGCATTGTTCTCCCCCACCTTGGCAAAATTTAGTACCCCACAGATAACCGCGAAGTCGCTTGATGGACCACACGATGCTACCCGCCTCGAGGTCGAGGGGAGTCCAATGACGTTCGGAGTCCAAAGTAGCTCGGCTGATGAAGACGATTAGTCGGATGGAGCCGTCCGGCTGTTCTTGTTCGAGAGTCCCACCGAACCCATCGCGACTAGCATCACAGTAGAGACGAAAAGGTCGCGAACCGTCCGAAACGGCATCCCAATCCGGATAAACCAGGACAGGAGGGTTGGCCAATTCAGAGAGCAGGGTGCGAACAGCTTGCTCCATGGCAGGGGTAAAGACGAACGTCGATTGCTTCTTGAGAAGAGTGGTCAGGGGCCGAATGCGCGTAGCCATGTTGGGAAGAAACTTGCGATAGTAGCTGAGGCCGCCGAGAAGAGAGCGAAGTTGTTTAACATCCCTGGGCATGGGCATTTTGGTTAGGGCCGCGACCTTGGCCCCGTTAGGCCGAACACCGTCGGGAGAGATGGTGTGGCCGAGGAAGTCCGCCTCTGTAGCGCCAACGGTGGCCTTTGGTGGGGTGAGTTTCAAGTTGTGTGTGCGCAAACGTTCAAACAGAGCGCGCATGGTGTCAACATGAGACGCAGGGTTGTCGTCAAAAACGATTANGTTCCACCGTATCGATCGGAAGGCGAGAGAGGAAATCAGCGTTGCCATTTGCTGAACCCTTGCGGTACTCGAGAGTGTAATTGTAAGCGGTAAGAAATTCGAGCCAACGCTGAACGCGGGCATTGTTCTCCCCCACCTTGGCAAAATGCTCAAGAGACTTGTGGTCAGTAAAAATGCGAAATTTAGTACCCCACAGATAACCGCGAAGTCGTTTGATGGACCACACGATGCTACCCGCTTCGAGGTCGAGGGGGGTCCAATGACGTTCGGAGTCCAAAGTGGCTCGGCTGATGAAGACGATTAGTCGGATGGAGCCGTCCGGCTGTTCTTGTTCGAGAGTCCCACCGAATCCATCGCGACTAGCATCACAGTAGAGAAGAAAAGGTCGCGAGCCGTCCGAAACGGCATCCCAATCCGGATAAACCAAGACAGGAGGGTTGGCCAATTCAGACAGCAGGACGCGAACAGCTTGCGCCATGGCAGGGATGAAGACGAACGTCGCCTGCTTCTTAAGAAGAGTGGTCAGAGGCCGAATGCGCGTAGTCATGTTGGGAAGAAACTTGCGATAGTAGCTGAGGCCGCCGAGAAGAGAGCGAAGTTGTTTAACATCCCTGGGCATGGGCATTTTGGTTAGGGCCGCGACCTTGGCCCCGTTAGGCCGAACACCGTCGGGAGAGATGGTGTGGCCGAGGAAGTCCGCCTCTGTAGCGCCAACGGTGGCCTTTGGTGGGGTGAGTTTCAAGTTGTGTGTGCGCAAACGTTCAAACAGAGCGCGCATGGTGTCAACATGAGACGCAGGGTTGTCGTCAAAAACGATTAAATCATCCAAATACGATGCAACACCGTGGAGATTTTTGATGACTTCGTTGACAACCNGAAACAGAGAGCGCATGGTATCAACATGAGACGCAGGGTTGTCGTCAAAAACGATCAAATCATCCAAATANTTCCTTGGGCATGGGCATTTTGGTGAGGGCCGCAACCGTGGCCCCGTTAGGCCGAACACCGTCGGGAGAGATGGTGTGGCCGAGGAAGTCCGCCTCTGTAGCGCCAACGGTGGCCTTTGGTGGGGTGAGTTTCAAGTTGTGTGTGCGCAAACGTTCAAACAGAGCGCGCATGGTGTCAACATGAGACGCAGGGTTGTCGTCAAAAACGATTAAATCATCCAAATACGATGCAACACCGTGGAGATTTTTGATGACTTCGTTGACAACCTTGCAAAACCACCCAGGAGCAGCAGAACTGCCTTGCGGCATCTTCAGNGTTTTACGGTGAACCGTGACTTGGTGGAACGAAGACTTCATGTCAAAAAGGGAAAAATTTCGCCCGTTCAACAACTTGTCCAAAGTATCATCAACTCGAGGAATCGGAAGCTGGCTCAAAGCGCAAAGCTTATTGAGCTTGCGAGAATTGACAGTGATGCGAACACCACCAGATTTCTTCGGTATGACTACTAAAGGACTCGAGTAGGGCGAGGTCGAATGTTGGATCAGACCAGCCGCAAGATATTGATCAAGGATCGCGTCAACTTGTTTCGCCACCGGGAGGTCAACGCGGTATGGAGGAGACGTGACGGGTGCACTGCTAGGAGGAACTGTAAGCTTGAAAGGAAAAGGCGAACAGGATCCAGAGTCGGTTGGGGAACTCGAGAAGACATCATGATATTCGCACAGGACGTTACCAAGCTGAGTTATGACATCTGGAGTACAACCCGGACCATGGAGATCGAACGAAAGCTCACGGAAGTGGCAGGAGAGCTTATCCCACACGCGGGAAAAACTCCGACGTTGTTTGGACGTCAATCGCTCAAGGAGAGCAGGCGGAGGCGACGAGAGAGAAGCACTTGCAGAACCAGGGTCCTCGTGGCCGTTTTGCGACGGCGTGGGTTGCTCATGCAAATTATTCACGAAGGGGCCATCAGTGCGATGCTTGGCAGACGAATCAATGCCGCCTGTCGAAACAGGACCCGGAACCCAGTTGCCCGAAGCAGCGGTGGGATCTTGAGCCGCAGATTGAAGACCATCGCACAAACTGTGGCGAGACACAGCACTGAGAGGCACGCGAAGCAGGGGAGCCGAAGCTGTACCCAGAATGTCGCCTGGTTCGAGAGAAGAGATACCCGCGAGCGGGAGTCGTTGGCGACCATTTTGCACAAAATGTTCCTCGAAAGAAAACATTGCACATTGTGGAAGCATGTCCACGAGATAGTTACCTACGAGGGCTGGAGAGCCATCGCTGTGCACCAAATTAACCGGAACAAGGCTATGTTCGGGGTGAAGTTGGACGGAATGTTTCCCAGCATAGCGAAGTTGATAGTTCCCATCTGTGGAAGACAAATCGTGAGCAAATACGGTGGCACCGCAACTGCCATGCTGGGCCAGGTAAGCTTACCAAAAAGACGGTCACCAGGGCGCTTCGTACGCAAAGTGTGGAAAAGGCGGTCGCTAAACCGCATCCAACTGTCCCGCGCGAGGAGCACGTCATGATGTAACACCATCGGGAACAACGTCCGACCAAACAGCGAAAGAGGAAGTAGGAACGCGCTTGCGAAGAAACTGCGCGCGCAAACGGACAAAAGTCGAAGTTTGAAGCGAAGCAGATTTGCCGAAACCACCCCAACACCGAGGTTGAGTTTGTTTCTCAGATAATGACGAAGCGGCCGAAGCGGCTTTCATGGATTCCCATGCAGATGCACTAATAAAAGACTGCGGGGAACCCGTGTCCAAAAGTGCAACACATCCAAACTGAACAGAAGCCGAACCACTGAGAGTGAGGATTTGTGTGGTGAAAGAGTCATCATCGATGGTAACAACACCAACAACCAAATCCGGACCTTGCTCTGGGAGCAAGGAAGAGGAAGAGGATGGTGAGGTGAACCCGGGAGACACGGCCCAAACAGCGGCGTCATGATCCGACGGAACATTTGGAGCGTATTGCGGAAATGACGCGAATCGTTCAGTCGATGGAGGGCGTGAGGCCGTCCGGAGACGCTGGTGTGTGGAAGAGCTAACTTCATAGACCGCATTATGTTGAGATGACGTCGAAACGTGATCACTGGGAGACAGCAAACGAGAGCTGTTCTCGGGTGGCGGGGCATTGCATCCCATAGACTGCGTACTCGTTGAAGGGCGTTGCCTAACAAATTGAGACCGCGCCACCGAGAGATGTATTAGGCGTCAGGATCATCGGCTTGAAGGCCAATGCCCCAAATTCAGTCGGACTGGCTTCGGCAAGGATTTGGTCGCCAGACCTGATAAGATGATTGCGCAACTCGGAGTTTTGACAAAATTTTGCGTAAGAGCCAGTGAGCACAATATTTTCGCGCTCGTGTTCCCAAAGGGCGGGGTCGAAATCACGGACACCGCGGCCAAACTTCTTGTGTAAGGCAGGATCGGACACTCGCATGACGTTCTGCAAAGCGCTATGGCCTTCGAAAAGATGAAGTTTTTCCGCAGCGAAAAACTGCTCAGCACACGAGTATACCACTCCATCGACCACAAAAGTCGACGGCGTCCTGTGAAAAGGGAGATGGGGGCTGCCAAAAGCAGACCGTGTCAGGAGTACAATACTCGTTAGACGGGTCGAAGACAGCGGGGACTGCAGGAGAAGAAACACCTGGAGTATGTTCAGCCGAAGCTGAGGTGGCAGCCGAAGCCGGTGTAACCGAAACGCCCGCATTGTAATTTACGGCATGGACGTCCATGGGGACGGTCTCAGCTATGTTAGAGACCGGCGAAGAATCGACCGGAATCGGATTATTCGCAATAATTGGGCCAGCGGCAGCCCCAATTCTAAACCTGAAGAAACGCCTCGTAAGGTGTCATTCAACAGGCCTCTTTCGCTAGAAACGGCCGCCAAGGCCGGGTCGGTTAAAGAACCAAACCGGGCATGGTGCTCCTGGCCATTCCTCCGTGACAGGGTACGCGAGACCGCCGGCTGTTCGGAGGTCACTCCGGGAGGGTCCTCCCGAAGTGATGGTGTCAACACTGTCGACGTCGGTCGCGGCGGCCTGGGATTTGGCGCCGTGGAGCGAGCGTGCGTCGGAAGGGATGGAGCGCGTGTCGAGGATCCATGGTCGAAATATCTCGTGGCGGAATCGGATGGCGTTCGGTGGTCAGAACCAAAAGAACAACGTGATTCGAAACCAGGCGAATTTGACCATGCAAATTGCCGGTCGGAACCAGTGAAGTTAGCTACCGGTGCAACAATCGAGGGCGAACCCTCAACGGAAGCGAGCACAGACGAGTTGAGCGTATCCGAAGATTCACCCGAGGTAACCAGTTCAGGCGATTCCTCTTCAATCGTCCAAAGCGCATGACAACGGCCGGTCTGATCTGCAGACGACGGGGGGAGCGAATGAGCGGTGCCCGACGAACGAGCGGTACTCGATGGCCCCAAAGGTCCTGCGGTGCTGTTCCCGCACCTCAAGACGGCACTCGTGCCAGACTGGTTGGTTTCTGACGGAGCGCCAGCCCGAAGAGGTAGAGACGCAGAGGTGGCAGACGATAAGTGCGATGGAGTAGGTGGGACGAGAGCATTTGGATGGATACCACCCTGATCGACACTTGGAGAAACAACGGATACCGAAGTATGGTTGTTATTGTGAGGCACCGAAATACCAGAAGGGATAACATTCACCGAAGTGTGGTTATCGTTGCGTAGGACCGAAGTGTTAGAGGCAACAGTGGGTGAAGGCGCAACAAATACCGAAGTATTGTTGTTGCTGCGTAAAACCGAAGTATTAGAGGCAACAGTGTGTGGAGGTGTAACAGATACCGAAGTATTGTTGTTGGTGCATAAAACCGAAGTAATAGAGGCAACAGAGCGTGACACACGAGCGTCTTGTGATGAACGAGACGAAGTCCCCGAGGAAGCTGAAGGCGGTCCGAGGGAAGTAGGCGAACCACCGATGATGAGTCATCCGCTCCGGAAGCGATCACCATGTTGGAAGTTGCCGGGTTGGCGGGCATTGTGATTGGTCGAAACCATGATGCCAGACGAAGGACCGGTGTGTGCATGTGTTTGTGGTTGATAGAGGGACAGAGCACCAGCGTGTTGGGTGTTGACCGGAGTGTATTGCTGAGAGTGAAAGCTACCCGCAGAATTGCTCGGGGCATGCCCGCTGTTGTGCGATTGTGTCAGATGAGTGTGAGGGGAACTACCACCGTCGGAACGGCGATTCCCAGCGTGGTTTCGACGCTGAGAGGACGAAGAGGAAGAGCGTTGGTGGCGTCTACCCTGATTGTTTTGGCGGTTGTCCGCATTTTTTCGGCGAAAAGACCACATTCGGCCTTGCCAACGTCTAAAAGCAGCAGAATCGTCATTGAGGAGGCCTAACTCGGGGTTCAACAACCCACTAGAATTCGTGAACGGTGCAACGCATTGTTTCATGGAATCACCCGAGCAGTTCAGACAGCGATTCCTGTTTTCGCGGAAGGCTTGCGAGCGAGCCTCTTGTGTCAACAAAGGAGTCCACAAAAAAGGATCATCCGTGTTACGAAAACTAGAAGTGAGAGCGTATACATCAGACCAATCGGCTTGCGAGGCAGGCCAAGAATTATTGTTGCGTGTGAAAGGGTCGGTATCGTGCGATTGTACCGGCAAAACTACAGGGTTCTGAGCAGAACCGGTTGCCCACTAGCCCGAGGGCGCGGGAGCGCGGTGGTGGGACCGCCGAGGCTGCGAGGAGCCAATTGTCGAAGACAACGAAAAATAAGACGAACCGCCGATAGCCGGGGTTTTATTGGTCGCTAGAGGCGCGAACGCCTCCCACGTATCCACAATCGACCCAAAAGGAGTGACGGCCGTGGCCAGGGCACCCGGGTACAAATCGGAGACAAACTCGGAAACTTCTTGCAGACCAAATGCCTCACTATTTCGAGAACCATGGATACACTAGGATCCAGAGTACGTTCAGAGCTAGTCACAGACGAAACCAACAAATGGAAGCACGAAGATAATCCGCGAAAGAAGTACCATCTGCTACACCGAATTGCTGTAGCTGCAAAAACGACTCTTCACGGTCGCCGACATCAAGTTGCTCTGCACGATGACGCAACAGCAACTGAAAAGCTTCTGGTCCAGTGGCACCGCCGTCCAAGCTTCTCTTCACCTGCTGACAGTAATCAGTGATGGAGAGGACGAGATCGGCAGTAGAGGGCTTGTCAGGGGTGATCGCACTCAAAAGTTTCTTTTCGAGAGGTCGTTCCCATCCACGCACGAAATCATTACCGTACAACCCATCACTCTGCTCATCACACAACAACAAAATATCGGATAAAGCCGTACGTGTTGTGCGAAGAAGCTGCTGATAGTCATCGCCAGGCAACAGAGTTGCAGGAAAGGGCATGGTAGCGACACTCTCGACTTTTTCAAATTGAGGGTGATGTACGCGCGTTTCACTGTAGTGACAGGAGCCGCACGTGCATGAGCATCGGTCGCATCTATCGTGGCTTGACGAGCATGTGCGATGTTCGGAGAAAGTGGCAAAACACGATCATCAACAACAACGGGGGGTGTGATAGTAGCTACCGAAGCAGCAGGGGGAGCATGGTCCGAAGACCACACACAGCATGCGGAGCACCCGGCTCTGGTGGCACAAACGCCGAGGGGGGGTGTGGGTTCGAAAACCCAGGGTTCTGCACGATTTCTGAATCTACAGCATGGTGAGCTGTAGAAAAAACAGAGGGTGCAGCAGTTTCCGAAGAAACGGGGGAGGGCGAAGCCGGAAGGTTCGAAAACGCGACACGAGTTTCCCAAGAAACAGGGGGGGGCGAAGCCGGAAGGTTCGAAAACGCAACACGAGTTTCCGAAGAAACAGAGGGGGCCGAACTCGGAGGAACGAAATCATCACGCAAAAAGAAACGAGCATCCGAAGACGCGTCCATAAGGGACGGAACTACTTGCCTTTGTCGGCCCGGCTTGCGAGACAAGGTGGTGTCCGAGCCCGACCCGGTCCCGCCCTTTGTCTTGGACCCGCTTGCCCCATCCCCGCTACATTTTGCTATTTTCCTTTCCCGGCTCCCTCCCGCCGAAGAAGACGAGGGCTCCTGGGGTCGACGCGAGGCTCCAGCCGATCTCCAGCCAGACTCCTCTCCTGAGCTGCCAGGACCACTCTCCCGACTCGAGCGTGACGGTTGCGCCTTCTTGACACGGTCGGGCGCTGGTTGCTGGAAGCCACCGGAGGTCGCTGAAGACGGACCGCTGCAGCCAGGGTACACCAAAGGAGCAGTAGCGCGGGCGTTGGCCTTGCGCATCCCCGCGAGGAGACTGCCGGCCAGATCCCGAAGATCCGGACGGGAGGTGTTGGCCACATCGACCGCCTCACCCAACACATGACACACAGTTCATACCTCTGGGTCGAACGACTACCATACGAAGTACGACACAAGATATCGCCCCCCTGGACCGATTTTCAAAGCTCGATTTCTCAACAGAAGAGCGAGCCACAGCGCCGAAAACGGCGGCGTTGAAGCCGTCTCGTCGAGAAATTTCCGAAAAGAAGTCGTTGCGTTTACGCGTGTTCTTGGTCGTGGCGTAATCGAGCTTTGGAAATCGGTCCAGGTGGTGTGTTATCTCAACAAGCTTTGGAGGTGCCGTTATTAGGTTTTCTCAGATCCACGTTCCACAACCAAACCATGGACTTCTTCTCCCACATCAAAATAGCTTGCGCCTCCTCGCGTCCAAGACTACTTTTTCGCCGTGCATAGGTCCCCGCTTTTCGGCTGTATGGTGGGGGTGTCCTACACCCTGCGGTCGTTCTCGGTGACCCATATCTTCCTTCTGGGGTTACACAGGTGGAGGCCTGATGGAATCGTCCATCTCGATGGGATCCCGGCCGCTTCAGAGATCATTTTGGCACCAGCCTCATTGGTGCGTACTCGACTTTGTCGGGGAGACCACCAATGGTTTGATATGGATAGGCATTCCGTAGCCAAGCTAAGCGCGACCGGGGCGCCCCATGTCCAGCTCCATTCATTTGTAGAGTCTGTTGAGAATAGTTAGAGAATGGAGAGGGACCGACATCGCTCCCACTCTAGCCACTGATATGACCTCACTTGCGACCCAAGCTTACCTGTCGAATCGTTCTCACAGGTTTCGGTTGGAGCTATGGTAGGCTGGGTATTCCGCCTACTGGTAATGTACGACCCAGCCAAAAGAAAAAAGTGGGGTCGGTATACCGCCGAAAAACGCATGTTCCATGCCCTGGTCTGGACGTACGTGCTGCTCGAAGTCAGAGCTTGGGCAACAGTTGGCGTGTACGGGGTGGCATGGTGAGGTAGAAACCTCACGGAACCGGTAGGCGGGAAAATGCAATCTTATAGAGGAAAGAGAAGAGGGCCACATGTGTAGACTATCTCACGGTTGAGCAACCTGCTGCGCGTAGTCTCCCTCTCGTGGCACGTATACGTTTAAGGAGTGGTCGAACCCATTGTACCAAAGGCTCCAAACTGCCTAGACAAACGCATATCATGTCCCCGTCTCCGGCCAGTGCAGTTTTGGCCAGGAATAATATTGCATTTCTACAGCCTGTATCCTGATGATGGGGCGCCTGCGGGGCACGAATGCTCTTTTTCTTGCACGACTCTCACAGGGGTAAAGGTGATCACAGCGAGCCAGCTTTCTCAAGTGTCCACAGCATCACGGATGAACGTGTGGGTTGAGACCGTCGACGATTGCGGCCGCTTGGCGAGAGCCACCGGTGACACTTAATCCTTGACCTTGTGCGTTCGTTGTCCTGTTTCTGTTTGATTTACCGTATCAGTCGTTCCAGTTCCTGGTCCGTCCATGTATCGGAGTATTAGAGCTTGGGCCATGCCATCCCCGACGGAAGCGCGGCGAGCAAAGACGACTCGGACTTCGAAACGTTTATGGCCATCGTCAACGAGTACATTTGGGACAAGTCAACCTCCTCAATAATATCGACAGCAGCTCAAAGAAGAAAACCATGGCGTTCTGCGACCGTATGACGTTTGTTTCCCTCGACCCGGTGCGTGTGTATGGGGACATCAAGCATTAGATGTCCACGTCAAGAATAGTGTCGCCCGCCAGCTTTGATGCCCTGGCTGTTCAATTCCTACTTACTGCACTTTTGCCGTGTGTTCCCCCTCGATCGTTCGCAGGAAGTTAATCAGTATTCTTGTCAAGGGTAAGAACAACCAAGGGCCGGCTCGCTCGACCTGCACTCTTTTTCACGCCGGAAAAAAGTTTTCCTCTTGACCAAAGCAATGTCGTCGAGACCCCACGTTCTCAGCGATAGCCGCGTGCCACAAAATATGTCATGCAATAACCAAATCTTGATCATCGTCCTGAACGTGCGCTCTCTTGATCTACATGTAGATCATCATCAGTTCTTCCGCGCCCGTATGTGTTCGCATGCATATCAAAATTGCGGCAGGACGAACGCGAGAACGTGTTCCAGTTAGCTGAGAGGGAAATAGTCAAAATGCTAGCTAAAAACCTGCTCAACAGATTGAAGGCCACGGGGGGGTACGTGCAGATTGCCAGGGACCTCGTTTTCGAGGCCCCATAAGATGACACGCCACACACCCACCCGTACAACTTCCAGTCTGGGAGGTGATGGGGACGCGTGTTTCAAGCAGACACAATATTCAGGTTCCCGTACCCGGAGGGGACAACCTTGAAGAAGAGACGAAGAGAGTAGCAACAGCGGGCGAGAGAAGGTACTCTGAATTTTCTTCGCAGCTTTCCACGGCCGCCGCGCCCATCACCTCCCAAGTAGATGTATGTACAATATTCGTCGAGGGGGACGGAGGGCGTACTCTTATGTTGTGCATGCCTTAGCGGTTGGATCGTTGACCACGCGTCCTCGACAGGACGGAGCATTGTTCCCACAGGACGATCACCGATGGACAATCGTTCCTTCCTACCAAGAGGGGGGGGGGGGTACTCATAGTCGTGCATGCCGAAGTCGTTAGATCATTGACCTCGCATCCCTACAAAGCCGGGACGGAGCACGCCGGGTTCTCACCGGACCAGGCTCTCACATCACCAAGCGCGAAGCGCCGTGAGATATTCGGCGAGTCGCATGAAGGGTGCGCTGCATCCTGCTAAGGGTGTTCGGCATCATGTGCTTACTTCCTTGCAAAGGATGACAGCTGCGAATGACTTAATGTCACTTCTGGTGCGTTCATTTCCAGAGACAGTTGTAAGCACTGTGTAGCTTCCTCGAGGGTGCATGACCATTTTAACCCAGTTTGGTGCGATCATCCCCTTTGCGCGGAGTGAGGCTTCTCCACCCCGCACAACATGATCTACTCGACCACCATTATGGTTACCGCCAAAAAAAAA